CTGTAGGCGTATAAAATTGCTTATAGGTCCCTTAGCAGGTGATTCGACAAACCAACGAACCATCGGGCGACATATCCAAACACGATCGTTAGTCCATAATACCAAAGCCAAAAGACACGCGACGAAGCGGATCAACGAGGCGACGAGGCTAACGAACCGCACGCAAACAATGGAATACATCCACTCGCATGCGGAATCAAGCTAACGGTTCGGTGAGTCAACGAGTCATCCAACCATAGAACGGATTCGAACTCAAACACCGAAGCGGGTTTACTGCCAAATCAGGATTCAGATCAACAAATCAGAGTCCAAATCAACAGCGAAACCGAAAAACGTCGAAAACCAACATTTGGAGGACTTGGCCAAAACCGAGCCACCAAAAGGTAGCTCGGTGGCCGAGCCACCAAGGTGGCCGGCCACCTGTGCCAAGGCAAAGGTCTGAGTGCCTATAAATAGGCTAGGGGGCTCATTTGTGAAGGGTTGGAACTTTTGGGAGGCGAAGTTCTGCTGGATTGAGATCTCAACTTTGAAAGTTTGAAGCTTTGAAGACTTGGACATCATCAGATCTGGTTTTTGGCAAGCATCCACGTCAGAAAAGGCAGGAGTTCGAGAGAGGAAGATCAGATCTGAGATCCACACGGTAATACTCCGGATCAAAACTTGGTTTTTGATCCCGAGAAGGCTATTATTTCCTTAGTGAAATAGTACCCCCGACTGTTATTTCCTTCGTGAGATAACACCCGCTATACCGTGTAGATCCGACCGGATCTAGATCGCGCGGTGGTCCACGGATTAACCCCGGCGCAGGCGAAGAACCCACAAAAGCGAGAGACCGCAAAACAGGATCTCGTGATTCGTTCGACAAATAAGGAAAGTTGTAATTTTCTTTTCTTTTGATTTTGTTGTAACCGGATCTTATAAAAAGACCGGATCTTTTGTAATAAAAAAATAGTTACTCAAGAGTACAATGAATTCAATGAAGAAAGCTACGATTTTTCCCGTG